GCACATCACGGCAGCTTTAGGACGCCTGTGTGCCCGTGGGAGGGACTCACACTGCAGCAGTTTTTGGAGAACTCCTGTTCGTGAGAGTGGACCCAGGCTGGAGAGGTTCATGGAGAACTCTCTCCTGTGGGAGAGGCCCCATGGTGTAGCAGGGGGAGGACTCCTCTCCCTGTGCAGGGGAAGAAAACCTCGGGTGATGAACTGACCAAACCTCCATGCCCTGTCTCCTTGCACTCTTGGTGTGAAGGAGGAAGGGGCTGGGGTAAGAAAGGATGTTTTTAAGGGCTTATTTTACTTCCCATTATCCTTCTCTGATTTAGTTAGCAATAAATTAACTTTGTACCTTTATGTTGAGCCTGTTTTGCTCTTGGACTTTTTTTTTTCCTCTCAATCCTTATTTCAACTCATGAACAGTTCATTAATTTTTCTCTCCTCTGCCCAGCTGTGGCAGGGGAGTGTGAGCAAGTGGTTTTTGTGGGTGCCTGAAGTTTGGCCAGTGTCAAACTACAACAGCCTGTAGCTGCTCTACCATCCATGTGATCTGAGTTTTCTAGTCTCAATACCAACCTGTCAGAACAATGAGTCTCTCAAGACAGACAAAGACTGTGACTCACATTTAGTTTCAGCATCATCAGGGAAGTATGGGCTAAAATGGATATGGATACCTTATCTTCCTTTCAATAAACTGGTAAATATCTTAAACTCAAAAGTATAGAAGGAATTAAAATCTTCTCAGGATAGCAGATGGGAACTTAAACTGCTTAAAAATATCTGTTACAATTACCTGTAAATAAATTAAGAAGTTTGGTGTTAAATTATACATGAGAAAATAATAAGAAAGACTGCAAATGTATTATGAGGTAATTATATGTTTTTGCCTATTTCCTCATTCATCTCCAAGTGCTGAGAAAACTTTCATACTACAGTGAGCTGGTTTTGGCTAGGATAGAGCTAATTATCTTCCCAGTGGCTGGTTTGGGGATGTGTTTTGGGTTTGTGCTGAACAGAATTGACAACACAGAGATTATAATTAATATAGATTACACAGAGCCAAGCCATTTTCTGGGAGTGCATGTGAAGCTGTAAGGAAATTCAGGCTGGGACAGCTCACCCCAATTGACCAAAGGGATATTCCAGGCCAAACTACAGCATGCCAAGTACATAAAGTGAGGGGAAGGAGGAGCAGGAGGAAACATTCAGAGTGATGGTGTTTGTCTTCCCAAGTAACCACAGATGAGGCCCTGCTCTCCTGGAGATGGCAGAGCACCTACGTGCCCATGCAAAGCAGTGAAAGAAATCCTTGTTTCACTTTGCTTGTGTAATTGGTTTTTCATTTCCCTATTAAACTGTCTTTATCTTAACCCACAAGTTCTCTGGCTTTTACCCTGCAGATACTCTCCCCAGTCCTGCTGGTGAGGGAGTGAGAGAGTAGCTGAGTAGGTGAGTGGAGCTTGGCTGTTAGTTGGGGTTAAACCATGACATACAGGTATAACAAAATGTGGATTTATAGGATAAATAAAATGATGTGTACTAAATATTATAATAAAAATATGAAAAACCTCAAAGTATTTGATCCCTTAAATAGTTGTTTTATAAGTAACTTAGTATGCTCTTAACCTAAAGTCCAGTTGTTACGTCTAGTTAAGTGGTCTTTGATCTCAGTTTAAGGACAGCAAAATGTACTATAATAGATCAGACCAAAAGCGACATCTTCAATACATATACAGTCTTATATATAATATAATGCCCAATAAATTTGTTTACAACATTCTAGAAGGAATAAAAGAAGACAAAACATCCTATTAATTTGATGCAGAAACAATTGTTTAATTCTTGAGCTGACACAAGAAAATGGCATGAAACTGTGTCAGGATATGTTCAGGTAAGACATTATGAAAAGGTTCTTCACTGAGAGGATGGTCAGACACTGGGACAGATTCCTCCTGAAGCTTTCATGACACAAAACCATTCAGATTTCACTGAGCATCTGGACAATGTTCTTAGTCATGTGGTTTAGTGAGGAGTGGGATGTTGGACTCAATGATCCTTATAGAGCCCTTCAAACCATAGAATCATAGGCTATGATTCTATGATCAAACTTGAGCTGCAGACATTTCACAATCCTCCCTTTGGACCTAAGTACTATAATTTTAGATCACTTCATATTGAATAGGCCTAAATACACAAAACATAAAATAGTCAGAAGGAAAAGGTGGAAGGGATGTTGAAAATAATAATGCTTTAGCATATGAACATCACAATGTGTTGTTAAAGTTCAGCACTACAATGCTCAAGAATTACAAGAAACAAAATACAACCAACCACCCTACCGCTCAAAAGAAAATCATTAAAAAAGAAAAACAATTTAAAAAA